GTAGCCTTCAGTTCTTTTATGGTAAGAGTCCAGTCAGAAGACAAAAAAAACACAAGCAAGTTGAATTTTAAAAGTTTAACATAATTATCAAATACTAGCATGGAATTGGAATAACATAATTGGCTTCCAAGGGCTAAAAAGAACTTTAAAGAATGCAGAAATAGTAGATATGGTGCAAAGCCACCACCTCTAGGACTGAGGCAGAGCACCCAAAGAATGGAAAAAAGGGAAGTGACGCCCCAGCCCCCAAGGCAGAGAATGAGAGAGCAGTGGAGTGGGTGTGGCTTTAGCCCACTGGATGGGGTGGAGAAGTTCACTGAGGTGCTGCAGACCAGGACTGCCAAGCAGGAAGCCTCCCACCAATGTGACAACAATGATGCTTGCTGGAAAGCTGCCTGCAAGGGATGCTGAACTCAGCTGGGGAACTGGCAGAACTTACCAGTAAGTTACCTATGGGGAGAATATCAGGGTGGGATGCCCACAAAACTTTCCCAGCAACACAATGTGATATGGAACTCACTGGGGGTGAATGTCACTAGGTGCCCACCAGGAGAGCCTAGGCCATAGGTCAGGATTAAGAAGAAAGGGAAATCACATAGAAATTAGAAAAAGGAGCCCTTTCCTTCTACAGGTTTCCTCCAGCACCCTCTACTAACAAACTTGGCTGGCCAACAAAGGAGAAATATTTAATGTCTATCTGAAGTATAGTAAGTAAGGTGACCAAAGGTGGATTTGGATGTAAGAAGCAATATATTGATAACCAGCACAGTCAATTATTCTGCCCTTATGGTAACTCCTATCCTTGCCTAATAATCTCCAGGCATAAGGAACCCAATGAACAAAACACAACTCAGAGACCCGTGGAAATCTTACTGGGTGCCCCTTGGTAGTAAGCATCCTTCTTCTGAAAACCAAGATCTCTAGGAGCTCCTGACTCTTGATCTCAGGACTGTGAGTTGCAGCCCCACAATGAATGTAGAGATTACTTAAAATATATATATATATCTACAAAGCCTATAAATGTGAAGGCAGGAAATGCAAATTTTCCAAGTGAATCGGGGTTGATAAGTGAAGCCATTCCTACATCTATCCCATGATTCCCTGACTCATGTATTATACCTATTGGGGGTATGATACCAGATAATTATTATTTAGGATGTACATACCATATCCTGGAAAATAGTGCCTTATCTTCTAAAGGAGTCATCTCCAAGCAGGCACCTCAACTGTGTCTCCAAGAGACCATTCTGTGACTCTATGCAGTAAAAAGCTTCTAGGTGACACAGTATATGATATGGCCAGTGTATTCCATGGTCATAAGCCCACTTCCCTACCTCCTTTGCCCTAAAGTTGGTCTCTTGGTCTAAGGCAACATTATATGGATCCCATGTCATTGGATTAAATATTCTGTAAGACCCTGGAGAGCAATGCTGTCTGGAGCTCTGCAGCAAGGGAAGTCAAACACATATCCAGAATGTGTGTTAATCCCAATCAAGATGACTCATTGCTCTTTCTTGGATAGAAGTCCAAAGTAGTGAACTTGCAACCTCATACTTGATTAGTTTTCTTGAAGGATGATGGTACAAAACAGCCATGTCTCTGTTGCTAGCAGTTGGGGATTTGGCAACAGCAGTCAGCCCTGGTAGCCGATGTTGCTGGACCCGTGCATAGCCTCCATCTCTTCCACAGTGTTAGACTCTAGTAATGTATTCAATTTGCCAGTGTCATTGGAGCCAATGAAAGAGGCTGACTGACTTTAAGTGATCAAAGCATCCTATCTACCTGGTTATCAGTGCTAGGTCTGTGGTTGATGCTCTGTAGTAGGAAAAAACAAGTTTTCACACTTCATTACTATTTCAATCAGCCCATTCACATCCTTCCTCAGTTATCCTTGTCCCTTATTCTCCAATATTTTTTCCTTACAGGGCCGTGACAAACTAGCAGATTATTTGTTTCTGCTCATGAATGCATGTACAGTCTTACCTTGGCATATGCCCTTCAACACAAAGTGGATGACCACCTGCACAACCTGGGGCTTTGCCCATTGGGAAGATTTTCCTCACTGATCTGGATCAAAGTCACTCCTCAGTAGGGTTGTAGAGCATCATCAGTCTATTGTCAGATCATACTGACACAGAAAGCTAACCTAATAGTAAATTTACATCAGTCTTCATCATCATCTATGATTGCTTCCAAAGGTACACACCAAGTAGCTATGGGTCTGAGCTGAAGAAGAGGCATCAGTGCAACAGTAGCAGAAGGCATTCAGTGGTCTAGGCTATCTACCTATGCAGCTAACTCATGTCCACTAGCCCTTCTCACACCCAAACTGGGATGGACCACTTCCACCATTTTATAACAGAGTACTGCTGGGTCCAGCCAAATTTATGACTCAACAGGTGAGAGTATGCAGCTACTGAAGATGAGTGCCAGCAACACAGTCACTTACCGCCCGTGGTCAGATACTCTATCTCTATCAGATCCCACCAGCATGCAGGAATTGCTTTCTGAATGGTATAAATCTGTGCTGCAGAGGAAATGGACTTGCTCTAGAACTGTATTGCCCAATATGATGGTCACTGACCACATGTGATGACTTAAGCTTAAATTAAATTAATTAAGAGTAAGTAAAATGAGCCTACAACCTCAGTGCTGGTCTCACACGCGGGAGGCACAAGAAGACTGTGGACGAGACTGCCACAGAGATGAGTGCCAGGAGTAGAAGCGCGTGTCCCACATGCAGGTATCATGAAGACCTCCCGCCAGGGCCCACCATCAACCAGGAGTTGCTGGTGCTCACCGCCAAGGCTACGGAACTCTGTTCTCTATCTAGCCACCCGTTGCTACAGACATGGCAGTGGAAAAGAAAAGGAAGCACTCAGTGATTTCTCAAACACTACAGAGGAATGGGAAACTTTTTAGTTTCTTGCAGATTTATTACCATAGATGATTTCAGCTAGTAAATATCTGTAAAAGCTTAAAGGCAAGACAAAGAAGAGAATGACAACAATGATGCAAGTATGGAGATGAAGCAGAATCCTAAACAAAAACAGAAGTATTTTAAAAATCAGCCGGCTGAGGACCTCCCTGGATTGGCACCACAGCTTTGAAGGAAGCATAGCACTGTGCAACTTTAGACTCACTTTTCAGAGACTTGAAGCACATCATATTCCTTCCAGGCTGAGAGCCAGCACCCGATGTGCCCACCCACACCATAAATGGCCAGAAGGAAAGTAACCCAGACAGCAGCCTCTCTCTGACGAGCCCATGCTGCAGTGGGGTTACCAAGAGAGCTGCCTGTGCAGTCGGGCACTGTCAGATGTGCAGGTGCAGCTGTAAGCTGTAAAGACGAAGACGATGTTGTTTAACTTTTTAATTTACAGATACATTTTGAGGAGCCGCTAAATGTGCGTAAATTCATAGATGCCTGTTAGGAAATTAGTTCTTGTTAAACAACTAGTTTGAGGGGCGCCTGGGTGGCTCAGTCGGTTAAGAGTCCGACTTCAGCTCAGGTCACAATCTCACGGTCCGTGAGTTCGAGCCCCGTGTCGGGCTCTGGGCTGATGGCTCAGAGCCTGGAGCCTGCTTCTGATTCTGTGTCTCCCTCTCTCTTTCTGCCCCTCCCCTGTACATGCTCTGTCTCTGTCTCAAAAATAAATAAACGTTAAAAAAAAATTAAAAAAAAAAATAGTTTGAGCGAAGTATGTAGCTTATGGGTAGTATGTTACATTTGATTTTTTCTATTTCAAGAAAACCTGACTCTTGTCCAAATATTGCATTTTTTAACTATAAAGAAATGTTTTTCTTTATTAAAAACTATATGTATTTTTATAGTAAATGCCTTATAGAACTAGTTTTGGAGCCATCTTTTGTTCTAATGCCTTGTTTATTACCTGAGATTTTTGTGAAATTTAAAAATAAGCATTTCTGGGGGCACTTGGGTGGCTGAGTCGGTTAAGCCTCTGCCTCTGACTCTTGTTTTAGGCTCAGGTCATGATCCCGTGGTTCATGAGATGGAGCTCCCCATTGGGCTCTAGGCTGACAGCATGGAGCCTGCTTGGGATTCTCTCTCCCTCTCTCTCTGCCCCGCCCCTCTCTTAAAATAAACAAGAACAAAAAATCAGGGCGCCTGACTGGCTCAGTGAGTTAAAGGACCGGCTTCGGCTGGGGTCATCATCTCGCGGTTTGTGAGTTCACACCCTGCATCCAGCTCTGTGCTGACAGCTTGGAGCCTGGAGCCTGCTTCAGACTCTATCTCTCCCCCTCTCTCTGCCCCTTCCATGCTCATGCTCTGTGTCTCAATAATAAATAAACATTTAAAAAAATTTTTTAACTTAAAAAAATTAAAAATAAGCATTTCTAACATTTTTATTCCTAGAGAAAAATTGCATGTTAATTAAATCAAATACAAAGAAAGTATTACCTCTGCCTAAGCGTATTTTTTCTTTAAAACATTTAAAAATGTTTATATACAGAATATCTCATTTTATTGTTCCTTTGTTTATGCCCATAGTAATTGTTTTCAGTGTTCAAGAGAGAAAACTAAATACTATTTTTTTCCACATGGGATAAATTTTTGGCTCTTGTCTCTTTTTTTTAAAAATTGAGCTATAATTTACATCTAGTAAAATTATCCTTTAATGTCTAATCTGTTGGTCGTGTAAACAATCAATATACAGGACAGTTCCATCACCCCAAATATTCCTCTATGCCCACCTGAGTCCCTTTCTCTTATCCCCAGGCAACTACTACTGTTGTCTGTTCCTCTTGTTTTGAAATTTTATTTTAAAATATTTTAAAATCCAAAAAAATTATTTAAAAATTAAATTAACTAAAAAGAGAGACAGACAGACAGACAGAAAGATCGATGAAGTAACACTAGCCACACTTCAAGTGCTTGGTAGTGTATGTGGCTAGTAGCCACCATATTGCATAGAACATCTCGATGTCACAGTAAGTTCTATTACACAGTACTGTTCTAGAGCCCTAGAATTCTACATGGCATCTCTTCTTTGGAGCTTGCTATAAACTACACAGTGTCTTTCCCACCACAGATAGTTTTGGTACTATAGGATTGGCCAGGCTGAACGGATGAGGCACAGAACTGTTTACATCATAGCCTAGAGCCTGCTGCAGTTTCTCCTAGATTTACAACTGTCAGCTTATGATCTTCATTAAAAGGAATGTAGCAGTATTCTCAAATACGGTATGTACTGTCTCCAGAAGTCAGAGAGGTTTACCAAGCATTGTGCTTCTTTCTTAGTGGGAGCTGTGAGATAATATGTTTTATTTTGACTTAGATGTGATAGTATGCCCCCCAAACTCCAGATCCCTACAAACTTCTCTGAGAGCCCCTGGATTTTCATAGGTTCATCACATACCCTCTGGAACACATGTGTCTTAAGTACTTGTCACTTCTTATCTGCTTCAGTTACCATGTCATCAGTATGTGGATGAATTTGATGTTCTACAGATGTCCAGATCATTCAGGTTCCTTCAAACTACATCATGACTGAAAGTCGAAGAGTGAACACTGACCTGTGGGAAGATCCCAACTAAATATATACTATTCTCCATCTCATGGGAATGCAAACTGCTTGTCAGCCTCCTTTTGAAGAGGGTTGGAAAATAATACATATGCTAGATAAATGGTTGCCTGTTACATGCCAGAGGATGTGTTATTCTGCAGAAAGAAAGGGATGGGGGTGAAGAAAAAGAAAAAGAAAAAAGAGAAAGAGACAGAGAAAAAGGGAAGGAAAGAAAAGAAAGAAGGAGGAAAGGAAGAAGGGAGAGAGGCAGAGCAGCTGCAATTGAGGCTACCAGTTGGTTGTTTGCAGTAGGTGACTGTCATTTAGTATGAAAACTATAGTTTCTATAGTGGTCACACTAGTGAACTAAATGGGGCTTTGGGAGGGACCACCACCCTTGCACTAAGTATTTAAACAAATGGCATTAATCTTCCCCACAGGACACGGTATTTATTTTTATTTTCTAGCTGGGCCTAGGATAGAGAGTTTGGAGGAAGGACAAGATTTAGAGACTTTGAACTGGCCTCCCTTTCTATGAGATCTCTCACGTCACAGGTTCAGGAACCAATATGAGTGTTCTGCCAACTGCCAAGTCTGTCCCTTCCAATTATATATTAGGGAATCAAAGAAATAGCATCCATTGTAGGCCCATGGACCAGGTGGACTCACAGTAAGCCAGTCCTGAGCCAAGATTCCATTTACTGCCCACTAGGAATCATGGTGGTACTTTGGGTCCCCACATACCAATGAAATGGTACAACAATCCTCAAAAACCCAGGTATTCTCCTTTCTCCAATGCAAGATATCCTAGTAAATGTCTTTACGTCCATTTGAGGAAAGATGTAGAGAATTACTACTGATTAAATGTAGCATGGTGTTGCAGGGTCCTTCCTCATAGGGCACTGGCCTGTCCTTCAATCAATGGATATGGAGTCTGAGAACTGGCCTAGATCCAAAAACTAAGCAGTGGATCATGACTTTTGTTTGGACTATTGCCCTTAGATTCCTGATCACCTGTCCTTGGTTTGATTGTTTACATTAAGTAGTATCCTTATTGACTGCCCATCTTTCTTGCCTCTAGGAATACTGTATCCCATTCAGCATGTCCATAGCTCTCTGCAGATTGAGACCTCTGGCTGCCATTCTGATTTTGTCACTTATTGTGATAATTGTCTGTATCTTTCTACTTGTGGTTAAACTGCTTGCCACCTAGATTCTAATGTTTCAGATTTTCATCACCTTTCCTATCAGGAGCTCAGTTCTATAACAGCATCTTCTATTAGCCTGTTCTACAGAGCTTTGAAGCTTCTCAGTGATTCTGGTAGCCCTCCCATGAGCACATTCATTATCACCTAGGAAAACTAAGTGTCTTCCAGACTCTCATGCAAAATACTATCAGGTGTTGGGGTTTCTAGTCTACTATCACATTCCTACTTCTTTGAATCTTTTGACCTCTTTCTCTACCATCCACCAGTAAGTCTTATCTTTCATTATCATTAAGCAACTCAACATATCTTCTACCTAACCCTAACTTCCTTTAGGAATTCAGATAACAGAGAAATAAAGGCAAGTACATTGGGAGATAAGCTGATAGGAAACTTAATTGTGTCTACCTATACTAAGAGAATTTAGTTTCTATTTCAACTCACATTCCTTGTCCCTCTATCTACAATTTGAGGAAAATGCCTACCCTCCTTGCAATCATACAAATCAGATTTAATATAAACAAACTGGTAATTTTCAGGTCTTCAGAGAGAAAGAATACAGCATTGATGGAAATTTTACCAAATGGATCCTTTTTATTGGGAAATTGTGTCATTATTTATTGATGTCACAATGATAACCTAATAGAACTCCATCTGCCATCTAGAGATTACATTCCAATAACCAGAGACTTTATAGCTAGGCAGCTAATGTTAGAAATTTGCTGTAAAAACTGGAAACACTGTGGAATACCACCTCTACTCTACAAAAATCAATGAAATAAATGTTTGTTTTTATCCTGGAGCAAAACTGGAATAATTTACTTCCCATCTCCATTGAACCTACATCTGATTTTACCCTCATGATTGACCTGCTCCATTCTGGCATTTAACTAGATATTGCCCAGCGAATTTCATGTTTAATCTTCATGGGCTAGCAGTCTACAATGTATACAGAGCAGTCTACCACCATCCCCTTAGCCTAAACAGAGAATATCCAAAATCATAAATGTTTCATTCTACTTTAACCAAGCAGAAAGACAGACTCTCATAGGAATACGCTGCATAGGCATGTAAATCAAATTTTAAAATTCAGTTATTGTTAACTTTTCCTGAAAAGCTAGTGAAAGATAGATTGAGAGAGAAAGGCTGCATCCTCCATGACAAGATTTAAAATTTTTTAGAGACTTACATCCATTTTTTTAGCACAAATTTCATGGAAAAATAGGCCATTTACTGATGTGAACTTGTTTCCCTAGGGAAATAAACTAGGTATCTAGATTAAAGTACTTTTCCTGCCAAAAATGTAGAATTCTCTCTCTCCCTGTCCATCTATCCTCAGGTAAAATAAATAACTAAATATATATATATACACATATGTATATATAGATATAGATCTATATATAGATATATATAACTAAATATATCTATATCTATATAGATATATAAATATAGATATAAATATATAGATATAAAATAAAAAGTTGACAAAAATCGGAGTTCTGTTTTTGCTATTTTGACTCTTTTGCTGACCAATCATCAAAGCCAGAATCCAGCTGTCTGATGTAAACGGAAAGGCACTCTTATCTATTCTCACAGATGGATTCTGGAATCATTTTGGCTTAATTTTGGCAGCGACAGGTAGAGGCAGAACCAGACTCAGGAAAAGCACTGATAATTTCCTGTGGGGTTCTCACGGTAGTAAGAGGTGGAGGGAACTCTTTAGAAAAAAACATAGGATAAAATAGATTTTTTGAAATTACCACCCTGTTAGACTCAGTGGAGATATAAACCCCAGGAAGGCAAAAGAGAACATTTCAAAGGATTGTGTGTTTCCCAAATTACTTTGCTCTCCCTTTAAGCTTTAAGAAAATGACATTCTGATTTCTGGCAAGGTTCAAGTGAATTCTATTTGGGGTTAGTTTGCAACACTTAAATTGCTTCAGGGCTTGCTCTGATTGGAATTCTGTTCCCTCAGTTGCACTGCAATAAAATACCTACCCCATTAGTTATTATCAGAGAACCAGGACCTTGCCACCCAGCCATCACTATGTGGGAGGGACTGTATAAGTATCTTAGCCCCCTTCTACCACTCTTGTGAACACAAAGTGATCTGGGGTCTTTTGACTGCTAGGAAAAGATATCTTTAGATAGTCTGTTTATCTCCTATGCCAAGACATTCAAGTGGGTCTTCAGAGAGAACTTAATTAGTAACTGTGGCCCTCAGCTCCATATGCATCCTGATGACATTCAGATTTATCTTTTCCCTCCCTTAAGACATTAGTGGAGAAGATGAAAAATGAACAGTCCTTGCCAAATGCAGAGTCCTTAGAGTTCTCAGAAAATAAATGTTACATTTCCAAAGTAAGAGCTACCTCTGATGAAAGAAGACAAACTTGTTGCCCACCCCACCCGCGCCCCAGTTCTTGCATCTTCACTCTACACACTCTTGTTGTGTTTCGGCATTTGCATTTAGTACCCGTGAATGAGAGCTATTCAAATGGTTGACTTGCCATCACCAAAGGGCAGTAAGCTGCATGCCAAGAAGAGGATGATTCCCAGGTTTAGCACAACTGACTCATCTAAAGTGAAAAAAAGAAAAGAAAGCACCATGCATAGTGGGAATGACTTTAGCTGCAAGTAACAAAATCCAACTAAAAGAAACTGAAACAAATAGAGCTCTAATTTGTTCTCAGATTAGCTGACTGCTGGTATAGGATCAGTGGGGCCAACACTGTTAGGGCTTGAGTCTCTGAGATATTCTTGGCCTTTCACTCAGTTTAAAGGTGACTCCAGGGGCGCCTGGGTGGCACAGTCGGTTAAGCGTCCGACTTCAGCCAGGTCACGATCTCGCGGTCCGTGAGTTCGAGCCCCGCGTCAGGCTCTGGGCTCATGGCTCAGAGCCTGGAGCCTGTTTCCGATTCTGTGTCTCCCTCTCTCTCTGCCCCTCCCCCGTTCATGCTCTGTCTCTCTCTGTCCCAAAAATAAATAAACGTTGAAAAAAAAATTTCTTTTTTAAAAATAAATAAAAAAATAAAGGTGACTCCAGATATTACATCCACCCTCAAAATATGAAGAGAAGAAGTCAACATCAATAGATTTTTGAACTTTCCCAGAAAGCTCTCTCATTGGCCAAAACTGTGTAACATGACCAATTCCAGCTGTAAGAAGGCTACAAAACTCACTAGGCTTCTCTAATGGAAGATGATAAAAGAAAAGACAGTTGAAAATGACTGTTTTGCAAACCAATCAATAGTCTGCCACATCCAATATATTTTACCCAGCAGTTCAGCTATAAGAAGAATGCCAGGATTGATCTTTTAGGACACTTTCGAGAGTAAAAGAGAAAACTGTTAACAATTATGCCAAGAAAACAGGAGCTAACTACGACTGTCCTGAGAAAACTGGAATATATGGTCACTGTAGTCATAGACAAAGTATTCTGAGAAATTAGCCCCACTTCCCTCCACAGTTTGACAGGGAACTGAAAATCTGTTTCTTGGGTGAATAAAATCTCCCAGGCTAGACCCAGGATCTTCCAATGCTTGAATTTTCTATTTATGCCTGACATGCCTCACTTTGGAGTAGACCAGACAACTTTTCTATGGGAGACTTTGTTAAGATCATTTGGCAAATAATACTCAGAGGTGCTTTCTTCTCTAACTTCTGTGCAAAGTCTTTTCAGAGCACATATTATCATCCATGGCTTTCTCCCACACCCTGCCTGTGAGGAAGACAGTGTTCAATAAGGCTGAGATTCTCAAATCAGGCAGTATTGACGATTTACAAACGGTCAGGGTAGTATCCCCCTGAATCAAGATAAAAAAGAAGTTTATCAGTAGTATA